CACATATTGTGTTCCCATAATGAATAATTTCTCTTCCTTGTACTTTGATGTAATACATTTCCCTGAAAGCCACAGTTACTGGTATAAAAGATTTTAAATCTGCTATACTGGGCCAGCCTGAATTAAGTCTCAAGCCTCACCTACACTTAAACCCTAGAACCGGCATTAAACTTGTCTGGGCCTCAGTTCCTTCATCTATAAAAAAATGGGAGTAATACCTTCAAGGGATAAATGAGATAAAATATATAAAAGCATTTATAAAAGTAGGAGGGGAGCAGGAATGACTGCTTGAGCACCAATTATGTGATGGCATCACATATTTCTGTGTGAACCTAATGCAATCTTGTGAGATGCAGTAGGCTAATTTTTATGCTTGGGACTATTTCGGGTAAAAATGAGTCTGTATGTTTAAATACCTAGAAGATCCTAGTTTCTTCCTGTATGAAGCAGCCATCTTAGGGATCTCTCAGAAAAGCTAAGAATTTTTCAGTTACACTGAGATTTGACATCAGCATTTCAATTTCAATTTCATTTAGCAATGAATTTTTTTTTTGCCTCTCCTAGATGTAGAGAAAATTTCATTTATTTTTGAAACTATTTCTAACCTTCAAGATTTCTTGACACATGACTATTAGGGTAGCATTAATAAGCCTTTTTTTTTTTTTTAACTAATCTTTTCTCCAGCACAGCTATAAGATGCCTAAACCGACACCTCTCTTTTTTATCCAGGGCCTTTTATTTTATGGAAATCACACCTGTCTAGGGATTTAACAGAATATTTGAATTAAAATGTATTCATTCATTACCACATGTTCTTCTCTGAATTGGGTGTTTCCACCTTAACCGCATTGAGCTAATCAAGTCCTAATGATGTCACATTAAATTCAATCTCAGAAGGTATAATTTTCCAATAGAATCTAAACAATCCATGACCTTTAGAGTGACTTTCATAAGTACAGCATTGCTTCAGTTACCCCAGCTAGCAGGGCACAGACAGAAGGAAAAACCATTTTACTCCAGCATCGGCTCCTGTGTGTTGTTGAAATGAGGCTCTTCATTTCTCCTCGCCTTTTCTAGCCTGCTTCCATGAATACAGTATCTTTAACATCCCTCTCAGGGCAGTACAGGAGGCCCCATCCATCTCCAGACGTCGTGGCTGCCGAGCATCTCATTATGGCAAAGGGAAGCATTCTGGGAGAGTGGGTGGAGCGGCAGACAGCAATAGGAAATGGGGGAGGGAAGAGGGGCATGCGCGCTGCGGAAATATATGCCCACTTTCTTGGTGATGACAGCATGCTGTGGAAGTATGAACTTCCTGTTTTAGAAAGGAAGATGATGTAGGATGTCGAAAACCCGTGACTAAGCCGATTCCAGGCCCTACAACCTAGTTACACCTGCCTCAGCTACCCCATACCTCCCAACAGTCGCGCCTGAACCCCAGTTGAAGCTACCCCCGGAGCCACGTTGGTGGGAGGAAAGCAGTGAATCCAAGCATTTAAGGAAAACATCTATGGTTCCAAAACAGAAACAGAAAAGCATTTGGAGACACACGTGCGCGCACACACAACACACACACACACCACTAACTTACAGAATTGAAAACTGTTTTCTTCCCACTAAGCTGAATGCTTACGTTTTACTTTATTCCTCTGCCTCAGCCAAAATAGGTCAAAGCAAATGCCTTTAACATTTGGGGAATCACAGACTCCCTTTAAGAATCATTGAAAATGATGACTTGTCTGTCAAAGGCCAGAAACCTACCAACGCCCACCCTATCACCCCCTAAATTACGAATTCCTACATTAGAAATTCGTTTTAGTTTACGAGTTTAAACTTTTTAAAATCAAGGCACCTTAGGGACTAGTCCGTGGCTATCAGTAATTTTGTTAGTGAGAGACGAGTTCCACTCTTAGCTTTCCTCGAGGCAGGCTGACTTGGGAGCCTGCGCTCAAATAATGGGAGGTTTGTGAGGGCAGTGGAGGGGGAGGGGAGCAGTTTCAGGTGGGGACAGGGGAGGCTTGGCTCTGGAGGGCAGCATTTTCAAGGCAGTGTGGAGGTATCAGACATAGAGCAAAAGACGAGCAGTGTTCTCTGGAGAGGAGATGCCAAAAATAAACTTCCTTTCTTTCCAGATTTTGCTCACCTCCAGTTCCAAACTGGTTGCAGTCAAAACTGCTCTTTCTGCAGCCAGCCACACCCAGACCCTGGGCCCTACCCTGCCCACAATCATCCAGTGCCTTGTCTCTCCTTTAATTGTTTCTTCCCCTCCCCCCGGACCCCAGGCCCCCATCAGCCCCTGCTGAGCTCTAGGCCTCCCAGCCGCCCTGCCTCCCCCCACCCCCGCCCCGCACGGTCTGGTGGGTTTACCCTGAAAGTCCAGCCTCGAGCCCTTGCAACGGCTTCCATTTTATTCTCCATGCCTCCATCCTCACAATCACTTTTTCTGGCTTCCAAGCTCCATCACCACAACCTTAGTCTGTTCTAAACCTCCATTCAAAGTTTATAACTTCAGCTTTGGGAAACATTTCAAACCCACAGACAATTTTGGGGGGACTATAAATATTGGCAAACACTTACGTACCACTCACTTGGCACCAGGTACTGTTCTAGCACCTGTATGAACTCATTTAACCCTCCCAACAATGCCACAAGGTAGACACTTGTGTTAAACTCATTTTACAGATGAGGGCACAGAGGCACAAGTAGGGAAAGTAACTTGCCCAAAGTCTTACGGCTAGTGAGAGGCAGGACCAGGAGACTTAAACCCTCGCAGACTTGCTTCGGATCTGTATTTTCAGTCACTGCTGTATTACATCTTTGTAGAGCATTTTACAGAGGGCTGCTTACCCACCCATTCCCCTCCCCCGACACACACTCCAGGGCCTCTAATGTGGAAGCTGGACTGATTTTTCTGGTACCAGTAGGCAGTCACATCTTGCATAGTTCTAGGGGTCCAGGCAATGTCCTGTGTTCTCTCTGTCCATCATTAGTGGTAACATGAAACACAGTTTCCCCAGTTCCAGGGTATAGAATTTTATTCTCCTACTTGTGAAACAGATCCAAGGGTGCGGCAACAGGACTATGTGTTGGGGTGTGTGAGAGCAGGGCCCAAAGTAGCAGAGTGTTGTTATAGGATTGCCACTGAACCCAGCTCCAAACTGTGCCACTTGTCCCCCCTCTTGCCATATCCCCTTGGAAGCCTTCTCTCCCTCTTGCAGCCCCGCTCCCAGGTTCCCAGAGCTTCCATTGTGGTGCCTGGTGGATGGCCCTCTTGGACAGACTGCTCCCACTTTCAGGACAAGGCCCATTCTTAGGGAGTGAAGGCAAACCTCGCTGTTCCCCAATAGGAACAAGACTGACAAAGATTGAAGTGAGCTTAAACAGTATCCTTAAGGAAAACCAGAGGGGTTGCTTGAAAAACTAGAAGGGGAACAGACAGGCACCGAGAGGTTATTGTACTTAATGATCATGGGAAGCGTTTAGTGCTAGTTGTGTATGTAAGAGCCTCATGCATTTTAAGCTTCATGAAAGGGGGACACTTCTTTCCTTCCTGCCCCCCTGAGTCCCCTCTCCCACTATTGGAGCAAAGCTATCCTCCACCCCCAACCAGCACACGTACAAAGCACAGTTATCCTTTGAACTACTGGGGGTGGGGTCGGTTGGGGGCACCAAAAATTTGCATATAACTTTTGACTCCCCCAAAACTTAGTTGCTAATAGCCTACTGTTGACTGGAAGCCTTACTGATAAACAGTTGGCTAACATATATTGCATATTATATGTAACATATACTGTATTCTTACAATAAAGTAAGCCAGAGAAAGGAAAATGTTATTTAGAAAATCATAAGGACGAGAAAATACATTTACAGTACTGTATTTATCTATACTATAAGTTTACACCATCTGTTTATGAGTCGTCTGTCAGCACCTATGTCAATATTGTCATATAATACAAAACACTGTAGATGTTATGTGTATTACTAACACTAGGCATCAAAAATGAAGAGATAATGTGAAAAAGAAGTTTGTATATATTTACAGGTATAATGATTCATGCATTGATAATGAAGAAGCAGCATTATGATTGCTTTATGGTAGCCTAGTGTAATTGATACGATGGCTTCCCAGTAGCCTAGCCTATGCACTAATGAATGAATCATTGTAAAATTTTTATGGCATATGGTGTCATATTCATAACACAGTGCTGGAAACATTGTTACATGTTTTTTAAAAACCACTTACCTGTGATGATAGGCTGATACCTAGTGTCTCCAATTATGAGAGAGAGAAGCATACTGTACAGTAATGTAATTCTTTGAGAGCAGAGTTATAAAACAGTAAGAAAACTAACACATTATGAATTTTTTTTTTTTTTTTGCGGTACGCGGGCCTCTCACTGTTGTGGCCTCTCCCGTTGCGGAGCACAGGCTCCGGACGCACAGGCTCAGCGGCCATGGCTCACAGGCCCAGCCGCTCCGCGGCATGTGGGATCTTCCCGGACAGGGGCACGAACCCGTGTCCCCTGCATCGGCAGGCGGACTCTCAACCACTGCGCCACCAGGGAAGCCCCACACATTATGAATTTTATACTATCACTCACCTCGTGCCTGTGTAAGGATAGGCTGTCCACTTCAATACAAATCTTGCACACAATATTCTACACGTATATTTTTGTATATCTATTGAAAACCACATAAAAATGGACCCGTGTAGTTCAAACCATGTTGTTCAAGGGTCAACTGTATACATCGACCCCACAGTGATCAGCCTAATTCATACACATGAGAAATGCTTGTACTCAGGACCTATTTTGATGATCAAAACTTACCTGTTCGGGGCTTCCCTGGTGGCGCGGTGATTGAGAGTCCGCCTGCTGATGCAGGGGACACGGGTTCGTGCCCCGGTCTGGGAAGATCCCACATGCCGCGGAGCGGCTGGGCCCGTGGGCCCGTGGGCCATGGCCGCTGAGCCTGCGCGTCCGGAGCCTGTGCTCCGCAACGCGAGAGGCCACAATAGCAGGAGGCCACAACAGGGAGAGGCCCGCGTACTGCAAAAAAAAAAAAAACTTACCTGTTCAATGTCTCATTCCCTCAGATCCTTGGGGATGACCGGCTTGCTGTTCTTGGATAAGCTAATTCAGGAGAAAATATAGTTGAGATAACATGGTACCCCTTACAAAGATATTTACTCTTAAAAAAAAAAAAAAAAGACTTCTAGCAAACAAATGGCTCAACACCAGTCCCTAACAGGCTTCTCCCAGCCAGCCTCTCACCCTGAAAAACCTCCCCTCCTCCCTGTCTCTCCATATACAACTCCCCTGCCCTTCCCACTCAGCGTAAAGCTCACCTCCATTAAGCCTTCCTTGACCGAGGCTGCCCACAGTCATGTTTTTTTCCACTTGACACACGCAACACTAGAACAGAATCTGGCAGGAGGAAACAGAACCAAAACCAGAAGCAGAACAAAAGGAAGAGAACATTGGGCTAGATGATCTCAGAGATGAGCCCAGCTCATTCCCTCGTTTCACAGGTGAGGAAACAAAGACAGAAGTGACCAGCCCACGGCAAGTCAATGGCAGTATGGGGGCCATCAGAGTTGTTTCTGCCCAGCCTTCCCCTCTTTCGCCAGGAAGAGTCTCCTCTTCTTTTGGGGTACTGCTCACCCTACCATTCACCAAAAAGAGCTTTGATGGGACTTGCCAGTCAGGGTGCCTACCACTCCCAGTGGACATATGATCTCAAATGGGCCACTTAGCATCCTTCCCTGGAATTTTAAAAATCAGAATTAAGAAGAAGCAGCCTTCTCTGTCTGTGGGCTTATAAGCTGCCCTCAGCCATGGCTCCCCCCTCATTAAAAACGCCAGTCTCAGAGGAATAAACACACACTCATTTGTTTGCTCATTCATTTATTCACGAAACAAACTATTTAGTAAGGGCTTTCCATGTGCAAGACACTTCTGGGCCCTAGGAATAACATGTTGGGCAAAAACAGGCCCAACTGCTGTCCTTGTGGGGCTTACAAGTGTGCAGGGGAGACATTCCTTAAATAAACATGCAAGCAAAGTAAAACTCCTATTTTGACAAGTAGTGAGAAAAGGTAGTCTTCTGAGAATATACAATAGACTACAGGGTTTTTTTGTGAGCACCACATCACTTTATTTCTTTGGTTTTCCAACTTCTCTCTTCGACAATGCAAATTCAGTCTCTCGCCTGCCACTGTGTGGTCCCTCACTGAGACAGGCACAGGCTCTGAGGAGAGGCTCAACATAAAGACTAGGGTCTCCAAGAGCCATTCAGGCTAGCTGAGAACTGCAGGGTCCACAGCTGATAAGCCAGTGCGTACACTGCGCAAAGCAGCACAGCCAAGGGGACAAGTGGGCTGAAATCCCATCTAGAGCCTTCTCACCAAGCCATGAGGCCTGGTGTGAAGCTGTATGTGCCCAGAGGAAGGGGGACCCTATTCTTCACACCCTGATGCTGTCCATGCAAAAGGGTCACCTTTTTCTAATTTGCCCCAAAGGCTTGAAGAGACCAGCCAGGTCTCTGGGTGAGATTCAGTCAGGGAGCTGAGTCAGGGGAGGGGAGGTTTTCCTGAGGAAGTGACTGGACACAAGAATAATGAGTAGCTGATAAACTAAGTGGGAGGGAAGAGCTCTCCAGACATAGCCAGTGCAGTGACCTTGTCTTGATGGCTATCTAGTCCCAATTGCTTCTGAAGCCTGGCAGATCCCCTCCCTTCCAGGGGATTGGTTTCATGACAATACATTCCCTCTTTGTAATTCAAATCAGGTTTCTATCACTTGCAACCAGGAGAGTCCTGGCTCAGAGCTAAGCTGATCCAGCTCTCCTTCCTCCCAAGTCCAGTGGGCCTCCCCACTCTGCCAGGCCCCACCCTCCTGTGTGAGAAACCTCTGCTCTGTATGGCCGCCTTACCTTCAGAACAGGAGCTTTGTCTTTGATGATCTAGCGCTGTCTCCAGCATGTAACAAAACCTCAGTAAACATTTCATCTGCTGGTGATCGTTGTGTCCACTGGGACTGGAAGAAGCGGCGAAGTATTAGAGGCAGAGTAGATTTCTGTACTTTTCGCATCACCCACCAAGTTCCTCCATGGTTTCTGCTGGCCCTGAGCATACACAGTCTCCAGTTTATACTTATGTTACTAGATGGCTCTGATTTGTCTAGAATTTGGCTGTAGGTAGCCAGCGGGATTGATTTCACAAGGAAGAATCAACGGCTTTTATTCTGTCTCTGCGTGCTACATGCCAGTGGGCCACCTTTAAGATGAAGCACAGTCCAGATCTAAAAGTCTATAGCCGAATGTTAAAGATGGTTTTCACTCTGTGCTTAATATTTGCTAGGGCCCTGTCTAGAGGTGTCGGGAAACTTGAAATCCTCCATGGTTTTATCAGCCGGGAACAGTCTGCTTTCCCACTTGGTCTTTGTGTTATTCCTAAATTAAGGGCAATCACTCCTTGGTGCATATCCTTCCCTTCTAACTCCAGGATCTGAACAATTTCAGCTTCATGCTACATCTCATGCTGCTGCTGCTATTAGTTATTTTTTTTTTTTAAATAAAAAGCTGGTATTTGAGGCTTTGTGAGACTCATGTCCCCTTTTAATAAGTCAAATTCTAACGGCTTGAGCTGCACTCTGTTCTATGGAGGTTGCCGAATGAGCCAACGTTGGGAATAAGAATCATGGAATTATCTTGCTTTTTCATCACTCTGTCTCAAGATCCAAGGGTTGAGGAACGGCAAGGTTGGTGTGGCTGAGGAGACTTCATATATGTCATGTTAGTTGGTGTCCCTCGTGCTTTTGTTTCACACCTCTGAACCAGTTTTTGGTATGCAGGAATCAGGAATACATCATCCTATTCTCGGATCTGGACCCTTGGTCTAAAAAAGCAATTTTCAATCTTTTTTTTTTTTTTGCCATGATATTCCTGAAAAATATGTTCCCATGAGCAACTTGTTCCCACAAACTTATTAAGATTAGGAGCGAGGCAATATATACCACAGATTTATATGTATTCACATGGTCCTAACTAGGTCTTCCACTCAAGAAAGCACATCAGAACACAAGGGAAGGAAACTTATGTTAGTATAAAGATAACTGTTAGTCAATTCAACTAATCTTTTTAAAAAACAATACAGCCTACAGAATGGAGAGAGATTTTTGAATCACACATCTGATAAGAGCTTGGTATCCAGAGTATATTTTGAAAAACTCTTATAACTCAACAACAAAAAGGCAATCAACCAAATTTTAAAATGGGCAAAGAATTTGAATAGACGTTTTTCCAAATAAGATATACAAATGACCAACAAGTGCATGAAGAGATGCTCCACATCATTAGTCATTAGGGAAATGCAAATCAAAGCCACCATGATATATCACTTTAGATCCACTAGGATGGCTGTGGCAAAAAATAAATAAATAAAAACTGTGGGTGATGATGTGGGGAAATTGGAACCCTCACCTTTTTCTGGTGGAGGTGTAAAATGGTTCAGCCATGGCAGGAAATAGTTTGGCAGTTCCTCAAAAGTCTAAACATAGAATTATCACGTGAACCAACAATTCCACTCCTATGCATGTACCTAAAATAAGCAGGTATACTTGTACACAAACAGCAGCACTATTCACGGTAGCAAAAAGGTGGAAACAACAACCCAGATGTCCATGGACAGATGAATGAATAAACAAACTGGGGTATATGCATACAGTGGAATATTCTTAGCCATTAAAAGGAATGAAGTACTGATACCTGCTACCACATGGTTGAATCTTGGACACATTATGCTAAGTGAAAGAAGCCAGACACAAAAAGGCCACATATTGCATGATTCCATTTATGCAAAACACCCAGAATAGGTAAATCTAGAGAGACAGAGTAGATCTGCATTTGCCAGGAGCTGGGGAGGGGTGGGGCGGGGGTGGGTGGAGGGATTGGGGAATAACTGCTTAACGGATACATGGTTTTACTGTTGGGTGATGAAAATGTTTCAGAACTAGAGAGAGGCGGTGGTTGCACAACACTGTGAATGAACTGAATGCCACTGAATCGTTCACTCTAAAATGTTTAATTTAATGTTATGTTAATTTCACCTCAATGAAAAGCATAATAAAGCATTCTAATTTAGGCATTTTATTATCAATAAGAAATAACCTAGTAACTCAACTCTGTCAAGACACTGTAATCTGACATGCTCTACCATGACAATATCGCTTCTATTTCTGTTTTCTTTAATTCTCAACTAAGTGTTTACCACTGCGTATCACATAAAAATCCATAGATTTTGGTGGGAAGGAGGGAGATGCAAGAGGGAAGAGATATGGGCATATACGTATATGCATAGCTGATTCACTTTGTTATAAAGCAGAAACTAACACCCCTTTGTAAAGCAATTAGACTCCAATAAAGATGTTAAAAAAGAAAATAGAAAAAATAAAAAGGAGTTGAAAGAGGTTAGCTCTTGGTAACAAAAATGTGTAGTAAATAAATCAAAGGATTGTTATTCCTTAAAAAAATGCACAGATTTTTAGGTAGGTATGTACTTATACAGTTCATTGTGCTTCCTTTTCTATCAGCTGGCTTATTTTGAAGGGGACATAACTCTTGATTTCTTTAGTTCAATTATCAATCCTGTTTAACCAAGTCTCAAAGATACCTACACGGTCTTATTTCCTTCCACATGTTAACATCTCAAGCTCACTTTATTTATCACCATGCCACTATGTTAGTGTTTCTCAAAAGTGAAATCTGTGGACCATTTGCATCAGAATCACCTAGCCCCAAATCCAGACCTACTTAATCACACTATCTGGGGGGTGACCCCAGGAATCTGCATTTTTATTAAGCACCACTGCCAGATGCTTTTGTGTGTAGATACTTGGACCACTAGTTTTGTTCTCGATTTACCTTTAATAATTAATTTACTAATTCATTCAAACAAACGTTTACTGAGTGCCCGCGAGGGCACTATGCGACATACTACAGTGAGAAAAGAAATGGAAACCACAGTTTGCATAAAAACAAAAAACAACCTGCGTTGTGATTTGCAAAATAGATTAACTATGCCAGAATATCGTGTGTAACATAAACTATCTAAATTCAAATTATTTTAACACCTGCTCATTTGGACCTGTATATCCCAATATAAGACCACAGTAACAATAACTCCACATGGATTTATGTGTTCCAAAGACCACGGACAGTTCTAGCAACTTGCCAGATTTACAAATTTTGTCAATCCCTGATCTAAGCCACCCTATGACTAATTCCAGCCCTCCAAACTCTACAAGTACCCTTCCCTAACGTCCCCCTTTGGACACCCTACCGAGACTCCAGAAAAGGTTGTTTTCCTTGCTCTGCAATTGCAGTAGACTCAGCTTGTATAAGCAGTAAGTTTCCCTGGTGCACTTTCTGTGGGACTTCAACAGCAGGTACAGATATAAAAGTTATTTAGCTCTATGAATGACTGTTTACCTACCTTACTGTTATTTTGCATTCTGTTGTATGTGATGCTATTCCTAGAATCTAAGTGTATAATGTTTCTGACATTTTTTTCTTTTTTTAAAATTTATTGAGGTTTGTTTTGTGGCCTAGCATGTGATCTATCCTGGAGAATATTTCATGTGCATTTGTAAAGAATGTGTATTCTACTCTTTGGGGATGGAAAGTTCTGTAGGTATTAAGTCCATCTGATCTAATGTGTCATTTAAGGCCAGTGTTTCTTTATTGATTTTCTGTCTGGATGATCTATCCATTGATGTAAGTGGGGTATTAAAGTCCCCTACTATTATTGTATTACTGTCAGTTTCTCCCTTCATGCCTGTTAATATTTTCTTTAGATATTTAGGTGCTTCTGTGTTAGGTGTGTATATGTTTATGAGTGTTACACCCTCTTCTTGGATTGACCCCTTTATCATTATTGCAGTGCCCTTCTTTGTCTTTTGTTGTAGACTTTGTTTTAAAATCAATTTTATCTGATGTGAGTATTGCTAGCTCGGCTTTCTTTTAGTTTCTGTTTGCGTGGAATATCTTTCCATCCCTTCACTTTCAATCTCTCTGTGTCTTTCACTCTGAAGTGAGTCTCTTGTAGGCCATGTATAGATGAGTCTTGTTTTTTTAATCCATTCAGCCACTCTGTCTTTTGATTGGGGCGTTCAGTACATTTTCATTTAAAGTGATTACTGATAGGTACATACTTAATGCCATTTTGTTACTTGCTTTCTGTTTGTTTTTGTGGTTCTTTTCTGTTCTTTTCTTCTTTTGGTCTCTTCCCTTGTAGTTTGATGATTTTCTTTAGTGTTATGTTTAGGTTCCTCTTTTGCTTTTTGTGTAACTATTGTAGGTTTTTGGTTTATTGTTACCATGAGATAGATAGATGGATAGGTAGGTAGATAGATAAATTTGTTTTAAGATGATAGTTGTTTAAGACATTCTAAAAGCTCTATATTTTTCATCTCCCCCCACCCCATTTTACATTTTTGATGTCATATTTTACATCTTTTTGTGTCTCTCTTAACTATTTATCGTAACTATAGTTGATTTTACAACTTTTAACCTTGATAGTAGCTTTTTAAGTTGTTGATCCACTGCCTTTACTATAAACTTGCCTTTACCAGTGAGATTTTTTTTTTCCTTCATATATTTTCTTATTTCTTGTTATGGCCTTTCCTTTTTCACTTAAAGATGGCCCTTTAACATTTCTTATAAGGTCAGTTTAGCAGTGATGGACTGTTTTCTTGTTTGCTGGCCTAGGAAACTCTTTATCTCTCCTTCAGTTCTGAATGATAACCTTGTTGGGTAGAGTATCCTTGGTTGTAGATTTTTTCCTTTCAGTACTTTAAATATATCATGCTACTCCCTTCTGGCCTACAAAAGTTTCTGCTGAAAAAATCTTATGGGAGTTCCCTTGTATGTGACTCTTTGCTTTTCTCTTGCTTTCTTAAAATTTTCTCTTTAACTTGTGCCATTTTAATTATGATATGTCCTGATGTGGACCTCTTTGTCCTCAATTTGTTTGGGACTCTCTGTGCTTTCTGGACCTGAATATCTGCTTCTTTCCACAGGTTTGGGAATTTTTTAGCCATTATTTAATCAGATACATTTTCTGCCACCCTCTTTCTTTCTTCTCCTTCTGGGACCCCTATAATGTGAATGTTAGTATGCTTGGTGTTGTCCTAGAGGTCCCTTAAACTATCCTTGTTTTTTTAAATTCTTTTTTCTCTTCTGATTGGGTGATTTCCACTATTCTGTGTTATGCATTCTTCTATATCACCTAGTCTGCTGTTGATTCCCTCTAGTGCGTTTTTCATTTCGGTTATTGTATTCTTCAGCTCTGATTGGTTCTTTTTTCTATTTTGTAATTCTTTGTTGAAGTTATCACTGTGTTCCTCCATTCGTCTCTGGAGTTTGTTGAGCATTTTTATGACTGTTGCTTTGAACTCTTTATCAGGTAAATTACTCATTTTCCATTTCATTAGGGTTTTTTCCTGTGGTTTCATCTTGTTCTTTCATTTGGAACGTATTCCTCTGTCTTCTCATTTGGTTTGACTTTCTGTGTTTGTCTCTATGAATTAGGCAAAACAGTTACCTCTCCCAGTCTTAAAGGCATGTCCTTGTGTAGGAACGTCCCTTTGCAGATTGAATGTGCCAGTGGCTTTGATGGGAGGGCTGGACCTCAAGTGGGCACAGGACAAGGCTTCTCCTGGCATGTTGGGGGTCACCACCTTGGTGGGTGGGGCTGTAGCCAGAGCGTGGTGCTGACAGGGACTTCTCCTGGGGCCCACTGAGGGCTGCTCTATACCTTGGCAACAGTATAGGGGCAGTTATTTCAAGATTCAAGGTGCTGAAGCAACAACTCACAATCCCACGGTCTTAAGCCATTTGAAACCTCTCTGGATCCTGCGGCCACAAGGGCTGTGGTTTCTGAAATGGTGCCCGTGTGTCTCTTGATATTGATTTCGCCTCCTTCATCCTGTTCAGGATTTGGAGGATATGTTCAGGCAGAAGATTCCACCTTTTCTCAGCCTTGGACATTTTTCTTTCTATTATTTCTTTGATTATTTCTTCCCCTCTAGTTGGTTCTTTCCTCTGCCACCTTCAACACATACTTTCGTCATCACCGTCCAAGACGGCTGCTTTAACTTTCACCTCCCATTCCAGCCACAGAAAGGAGAAGAGGCATGCCCTCCCTTTAAGGACACTGCCTGGAAGTCTCACACACTAATTCCTCTTATATCCTATTGCCAGAAACTTAGGCCCATGATTATTCAT